TATATGCAAATCGTTACATCACGGTCGTTCAGACTTACTAAATAAGTGGAAAGTTATTATACGCAAGCGCAGTAAAGTTTGCATATTTTAAAAGTTTTAAAAATGGCTACGGATAACGAATATAAAAAAAATTCTCATTGACAACGAGCTATTTTTCTAATTTTTAGCAATTAAATATGGATTTAGCCGTTTATTAAAAGGAAATTATAATAAAAGTAACTTCTAGTACACGATAAAATGTTTCGAATCAAATATAAAACCTCTAAAAACGAATAAAATGTAATTACAGCAATATCTTTTTTAGTGTGTTTTGTTTATCGTTTTCAAATTGTTTTTAAAAAAATTTTGAGCGTAGAAATTTTTAAATTTTAACTTTTTCAGATAGATGAACTGTTGATCTTTCTTAGAATGTTTACTGATATTAGTATTCAATTTTTTTTCAAGATTAAAAGATATTTTTTCAACATTAACTTTTAGTAAGCTGTTGCTAGGCTACCCTATAACCACAATACATAATTACATTGATGTGAGTATATATATATATATATATATATATATATATATATATATATATATATATATATATATATATATATATATATATATATATATATATATATATATATATATATATATATATATATATATATATATATGTATATATATATGTATATATATATATATATATCGTATAACAAGAAATGACTTTTAAAGATATATGTGTGTGTGTATATATATATATATATATATATATATATATATATATATATATATATATATATATATATATATGTATATATATATATATATATATATGTATATATATATGTATATATATATATATATATATATGTATATATATATATGTATATATATATATATATATATATATATATATATATATAATATATATATATATATATATATATATATATAAAAGATATGTTAGTGTATTTTAAAAATAGAGTGCTATAACAGAGACAAAATTAGATGTATTTTTGCTAATTTATTAGAATTAACAAAAACACATCTAATTTTATGAATGAAATATATGCATGAATGCAATATAGTTATTTGCAGTTATTGTGGTTAAAAAGTCAATGGAGAGATAAACAAATAAAAAACAAAACAAATTTCTACATTCTATAAATAAATAGTTTAAACACTCCTAGTCATAACTAAAGAATATATATATATATATTATATATATATATATATATATATATATATATATATATATATATATATATATATATATATATATATATGTATACATATATATTTATAAATTTCAATACGTATGTATGTTAGACCCATGGAAGTCGCCCTAACATACAATTTATAATATATTTACTTTTTGTTTTTGTTAAAATCATTTCATATTTTAATACATTCGAATTTTAAAAGTTTTTTCCATTTCTAACTATTTATTGCTAAAATAATTAATAAAATACCTTATAATATTTTTTTAGTATTTAAATGAGCAAAGTTTGATCCAATCGAGGGGGCTGTTAATTTTATATGGTCATAACTTTTAGGCACAATAATACAAATAAATTAAATTGAAAAACTGAAGGTTTATTTAGTATTAGATAGAGAAACTAAGCATTTTATCAAGTCACTGTCATCATGTTTTGGCAGAGGCAGTTAGCTTGTAGGGCAATTTTTGTTAACAATTCATGAAATTTTTTGCAAAACATTTAGAATTGACCAAAGCATGACCATAATTAAATTTAGTTAAAAAAAAAAAATTTTAATGTATCTTGAAATTTCTAAGACAACTTCATGTTATTAGAGTAATAACATTCTAATAATGTTATTACTCAAGATTGTGAAAATTTATAATGATATGACCTTGAGCTAATTTCATTATAAACTATTAATAAAAGCAGGTTGATTTGATTAAAATAAATAGAGATTTTTTAAGTCAAGTCTTGAATCACTTGTTTGATTTGATTTAAAATATTTAGGCTTAGCAGGGGCCTAATATATATTATATATATATATATATATATAATATATATATATATATATATATATATATATATATATATATCCACGACATGATATTAAATTAGTTTTTTGAGGTAGGTAAGATTTTTTAGGCCTTAAATTAGAGCACACATTGTTTTTGTCACGATTTTTTTATAAAACAAATTCAAAATCAACTAAATCGAAAACTAAAATACTTTTATTTTTATTTTTTTAATTCAAGTAAAATCTATATGCATTATGAAAATCCAAAAAAAGATCTAAACATATTGATTAAGATACCAAAAAAAATAATAATAATTAAACATTTTATCTTAATTTAAAAAAACAATCGGACTAAAGTTAAGTATATATTTCAAATAATATATTAAAACAATAATTTACCAAAGAAAAACCATAAAAAAAGCATTTCAATATTTTGCATATCCACAATTTTTATATCAATAATTTGCAATTTCAATGTTTCTATCAGCATTAAGTCAATCTTCAAATAATTAATAGCATTTAAGTCCTGCATAATTCATGTAGGCCCAAAAGTCTACACTGCCATTACCTTGCTTGGTTGGTTTTCATGTACAATTCAAATCAAATTACTGTTGAGGTGATCGCCATAGCAGAACACGAAGCAATAACATATTTTTGCATATCTACCTCAACATTCATTTTGTCTGAGAATATAACATTTTACCACTTGCTGTCGTGTTTCATCAAGCAAATTAATTTTATTAATTAAAAACGTTTATCTCATTGTGTTGCCCACCAGATTATCCAGACCCATAATGTCATCTGTTTCAGTATAAGGTTTTCAAATATGTGAATATTCAATATTTAACTTATTGGCTATTTGACGAGGAGATAATACTTGGTTTTAAATAAAAATAGATTTGTAACATGTTTTTTCAGATAATCTCAACCATGATTTTGGAGTTTCATGCTGTATTACTTCACTCGTTATGAGGCTTTTCAATATCTAATTTCTTTGTGTTTTCATCAGTACTATTTCAAAATTAGAAATTTAGAGTTAATAAACGCTAATGAAAATCAAATTAAATTATTAAAAAATATATTACATTAATTTTAAAAATAAAGCAGTAAGCATTAATTTTTAACGAACAAAAAAATTTTTAAAAAATATAGTCGATGTTATAAAGTTACATATAATTAGGGATACAAATGAAATTTTATGGTAACAACTTGTCCATTAAATAAAATACACGATACTTATTAATTAGAAATAATAAAATATTTAAAAAGCTAACTAGTTTTTAAAGTAATTTTAAGCAAACAGGATATATAAGTAAGAATGCTCTAATTAATGGCCAATGGTGTATGTATCATATATTTATATATATATATATATATATATATATATATATATATATATATATATATATATATACATATATATATATATATATATATATATATATATATATATATATATATATATATATATATATATATATATATATATACTGTATTGTATTACATAGTATACTATGCTTGGACATATATTATTATTTTTAATATTTTATTATTTTTCAGAGTTTGATTTATATGCATTAATTGTGTTTGCATACAATTATTGTAATCGTGTTGTAATATAATATGCACACAAATTTATTGGATAAAAATTGTACATAATATATAGTTAAATGATTATGATATATTATAAAAACTATATTTTATAGTTTATATTACCTATATTATAAAAACAAATATAAACTAAATGCTATATAAACTATGTAACATAATAAATTTATATTTAACTTATATATAAATATTTTATCTTACATACTTTATAAGTAACTTGTGAACTTTTTAGCCTTTATTTTTTTGCATTTATAGTATAGTCATTCACATATAATTATATATTATAATTTATATTATAATCATTCACATATAATTATATATATATATATATATATATATATATATATATATATATATATATATATATATATATATATATATATATATATATATATATATATATATGTATATATATATATATATATATATATATATATATATATATATATATATATATATATATATATATATATATATATATATATATATATATATATATATATGTATATATATATATTAGCTATATACCTTAATATAAATGTATCATACATCTACAAAAGTAGTGTTGGGTGAATTCTATTTTTGTTCAGAAAAAAATTGAATACTCAGATCTGAAAACAATTTCAAATCAAGATAAGACTATTCGAAATAAAAAAGTAAAAATTATTAAATTGTATCGCTCAGATTTTTAGAAAAACAGTTTTGAAAATGTAAACAAATCACGCTTTTAACAGTCAGATAAATGTAGCAGAGAATCACAGTTTTTTATATATTTAAACATCTTTATATTGTTTTTATCATTTTTGAATCAACAATTCAATTATCTTTATTATTATTTTATTCTATCAAAAATATGCAAATAATAACTACTAAGTAAAACTATAAAAATATTGTTGCTACTCAGAAAAAATTTTGGTATCTAAAGGCCGTCACCATCTTTAAAACTATAATATTTGAATTTGACACTGCGCTTGCGTATAATAACTTTCCACATCTAAACGACCGTGACATATCGTCAGGTTAGAATTATTTTGTTCAATGTCCGAATTTGAAAAAAATGAGTTAATGGCAATTTCTTTTTTATTGTTAATTTTCAGCTGTACTACTTTTGAAATTATTTATTTTTTTAATAGTGTCAAATCAGGTGTATCCGATTGTTCTATTTGCAAAATATCAACAGTTTTTAATGTTATTTTGTAATATTTCCAACAACCAATAAAATTGCGTATAAATCACATTAATGTTTATTTCCTCAATTTAATTTTAAAATGGCGGATGAAAATAGTCTAACGAACGGTGTTGCGTTAAATAAGTAGCCCGTTAAATAAGTAGACAAACAGTTTTGCGCATGCGTTTCCACATGCGCAGATGTGCTGTTAAGTGTCCGTTAGGTTAGTAACATTTATTGTTAAATCCACCGTTCCTACCTCGTCATTAATTTATTCTAATTATACGTAAATATGCGTTACCGCCATTATGGAGGACAAACAAACGTAAACAAATAGTTCGGAGATGTCAACAGAAAGCGAACATTTGTCTAAGCTTGATTCTAATGCAAAGCAAAGATACTTAGAAAAAATAAGCTTTATAAACCACGTTGACCCATATCTTCTTAAAGATACTGATTTCTCTGATAATATAGATAGTTATCCAAATGTTACATATCCGGATATTGTTAACTATTTTTTATTTGCTCCAAGTCCTCTTACTAAGGATCAGTTAAAAGCATACAAAGCTCTTGATTCTTATAATCAATTTGTATCAGGTTGGGTTATCAACGCTGGTGTGAAATTATTTGAGAAATATGTTCTTATTCATGGCAGAGTAGGTTATTTTTATTATTAGTTCAATATTAAAATAGAAATAGCTTTCTTGTTTTAATTTTTTGTCCTAATTTTTTTAGGTGAAACACTCTCAAAAAATGAATGATGTACCATTACATCCATGGATTATTTCGGAGAAGTCAGGAAATATAGTTTGTGCACATTGCAATTGCATGGCTGGTCTCGGAGAAAGTTGTTCACATGTTGGTGCGGTACTATTTCATATTGAGTGTGCAGTTAAAATTAGAAATTCAAAAACATGCACTGATGAAAAAGCTTATTGGTTACTACCAAGCTCTAAAAAGATAGAATTCAAGCCTGTTTCAGATATTGATTTTACATCACCCAAATCTTTGCAATGCAATTTAAATAATAAAGTTCAAGGCATAATCTATGACAAAAAAATAGCACATAGAAAAAGTGTTTCTATTCCAACAAAAGATGAAACTGATAAATTTTTTTTAGACCTTAGTCAATGTGGAACAAAACCAGCTATTCTTTCAATTATTCCTGGGTTTACCAAACCTTATAAACCATCAATAATAACAGAAAAATATCCTGAATCTTTATCAGAAAAATATATTTTTAAACTTTGAACAACTCCTAGCTGCTTGTAAAAAAAAAAAAATTACAATAACGATTGAGCAAAGTAAAAATGTTGAGAGTACAACGCGACTTCAAGCAAAAAGTAAAAACTGGTTTTACTTTAGGGCAGGTCGTATAACTGCTTCAAAATTTGGGAGTGTGTGCTGCGCAAACATCACCCAACCACCAATCAGTTTGATTATGCAAGTATGTTACCCCATTCAAGCACGTTTTTGCACAGCAGCAACAAAATGGGGAAATGACCATGAAAAAAAAGCATTGACTTTGTATTCCACAACCATGGAAAAGAAACACTCTAAATTTTCAATAAAAAATTGTGGATTTTTTATTTCAGTTCAACAACCCTTCCTTGGTGCATCACCAGATGCAGTTATTAATTGTGATTGTTGTGGAAATGGTTGTCTGGAGATAAAATGTCCATATAGTATGAGAGATAAATACATTAGCGAATTATTAGATTTTAAAAATTGTTGTCTGGAAAATAAAGCTGGTTATATATCTTTAAAAAAATCACATAAATATTACTATCAAGTTCAGTGTCAGTTATATGCTTCATCAAGTAACTACTGTGATTTTTTTATTTGGACATCAAAAGATTCGTATTGCGAAAGAATATTGCCGGATTTGGAATTTATGGACAGGAATATAATAAAATCTAAACAATTTTTTGAAGAATGTATTTTACCTGAACTAATTAACAAATTTTACAGCCAAAAAAATAAATTAATGAAAGAAATATCAGATAAAAATAAATTTATACTAATAGAACACAGCTACTTTAAAAAAGAAAACAAAGTTTTTAATGATCACGATTATTGTATAAAATTGTAATAAAAATGTAAACTTTTAATAAAAATATTTTATACTTAATTTGATAATATTTATTTTTGTTTATAAGATCTAGTTTCAATTAATTATTCAATCCTGTTAAATTTTTAAAAATTATTCCACAGGAATAATTGAATCACATATATTTATCAAAGAAGAACAAACAATAACAATTTTGTCTATTGTGCACAATCCAAAATCTTTAGTATATAAGTAATCTAATGGCATAATACTTTGCAGAACTTTATATTTGTTACGTAACAATCCAATAACTCTCTCAACGTGTACTCGAACAGAGGCAATTTTCCGGGTTGTTTCTACATCTGAACAAGTCAGTTGTAACTTTCCTTTTGTAAATCCTGGAATCTTTAGCTCCCCACAATAAAAACCAACACTCTCAGCAATGTTAAAACCTCTATCAGCTAAAATAACATCTCCAGGAAGAATGTTTTTTAAAATTGAGCAATGCTCTGTTAGGTATTTATCGCTAACACGTCCTCCCCAAGCTTTAGAAACAAATGTTATCACACCTTGTGGGCTTACACCTATTAAGAATTTAACAGTATTGTGATGTTTGTACTGTGACCAAGTTGCTGCTCTTGCGCATAAATTAGATGGTTTATTTATGAATATTTCAAAGCAATCAATTATCAATTATAATTAATATATTAGTTCCGCTAACTTAGTTGTCCTCCATAATGGCAGATTTGAAATCAAAACAACTCTTAATTATTTCGAATAAGTAACCTCGTTCCGTTAGGTACAGTTAAAGTAAATTTGGATTTCATTTTTAGCCATATTTAACTATTTAATTCATTTAAAGTTTATTATAAAATGTCAGCTCATAGTTATTCTGTTGAAGATATTAAGCTTTATCTTTATAAAGGAGAAATAAATTGCTCTAAATCACAGCGTAAATCATTTTTTAAATATGCAAAAAAGTTCAAACTATGCGGTATGTAATCGTTGTATAATAAATTGTTGAATAAGTAATAATTATTTTTAATAAACAATAATTATTTTTATTGAATAATCACTAACTTATTATATACTTCAGATGGTAAGTTGTACTATGTAACAGCGTCAAAAAACCTGCAAGTTCTATTTAATGACAATGAAAAATGTTAGCCTTTAGAGATGTCCATGATTCCATGAGTCCATGATCATGGGGCTCATGTTGGCCTTAACAATACAAGAGCAAAATTAAAAGGTTCTTTCTACTGGCTAGGTAATATTATTGTCTTTTTATAATAGTACTTTTTAATTTCTATAAGGTTTTTAAGCTCTTTTAAGTGTTATACCGTTCTTGAACTTAATTGCTAGGCAAATTAAATTAAAACATGAATTGATATCAATTCATGATATCAAAAGATAGAGTACAGCTCTATTTTTTTTAATTTGGTTATGTTTTGGTTCATGTCAAATTTTTGTTTTTGTTGAATTGTTAGGAATGGTTAATGACATTACCAAATGGGTTAAAGAATGTGACAAGTGTCAAAGAATGGAAAAAATAAGAACTGTTGCTCCCGAATTAAAACCTATCAAGGTTAATGGACTGTGGGATTTTTTAGGCATAGACCTAATCGGACCTCTTCCAATTACAAAGCTTGGAAACAAATATATTTTAACAATAACTGATCTTTGGAGCAAATATATCGAAGCTTTTCCTATTCCTGAAAAGTCAGCATTTTATGTTTCTAAGTGCCTTACTACTTTGTTCTATAGGTTCGGTCCTCCAAAAAAAATTCTATCAGATCAAAGTAGGGAGTTTGTAAATAGTTTAAATGAACAATTATTCTCTTTATTTCAAATCAAACACTTGATAACCTCTGCCTACCACCCTCAAACCAATGGACAAGATGAAAGAACTAATCAGACAATTAAGAAATCTCTCTCTAAATTATCTAATGATACCCAGGGCAATTGGGATGAATTGTTAGAAGCTGTTTTATTTGGTCTGCGCACATGTGTGCGAAAGTCAACTAAATTTACACCCTTTTTTTAATGTTTGGCAGAGAAGCAAACTTGTTCTCTACTTTATCACTGAATAATAGTGATTCTGGTACTAATGACAATAACATTGTTGAAAGTAATGCATCGGATGAGCAAATTCAAGAAAAATTGGGTTCATATGATAAAGTTGTTACAGAAGTAAATAACAATATTTGTCATGCCCAAATAAAAATGAAAAAATATTATGCCTCAAAACAACTTAAAGGATGGAAATCATTTACATTTAAAGCAGGCGATCAAGTTTTAGTTAGAAATTACAGAAAAATAGGTTGTAAAGGAAGTCGGATGGAACATGATTGTTTGGGACCTGGAATTATTTCAGAGTTAAAACAAACTGGTGCTACTTTAACCATCAATGGTAAAGTTTGGAAAAAAGCTGTTTCTTTATCCAACATGAAGCCTTATATAGCTGATAGGCAAGTATTGTCGGCTGAATTGCTTTTAAAAGAACATGATTATTGTTTGAAAATGACAAATCAATCATATAAAAAAGAAGATTTAAAAAAAAAGGAGTTCTAAAAAGAGGCACATATCAGAATTGAAATGTTATGACAAAGATAAAAAATATAAATCTGGTAAAATGGAAATCATTACATCATCTCTATCTGACGATAAAAGCATTTTAAAACATAAAAGATTGATTTATCCTGCAATTTCTCTAGATAACAATTTTTATTCAACATTATCAGCACAGTCAATCAAACAATGTATAGATATTTTAAATAATCCCTTTGGTTGGCTAGATGATACTTTAATTGATATTGCAAAAAGTTTTCTTTCGCATCAGTTTCCTAAAGTAGGTGGGTTTCAAAGTTCTTGTATTTTTAATTCAAATAATTTTGGTGGTTTTGTTTCTGGAAAGTTTGTTCAGATATTTAATGTGAGGAATTCACATTGGGTATTAATAAGTAATGTAACCTCTGATAATGGTTCAAGTTCTGTTCAATATTATGATTCCCTTTTTACTGGTTTTAATAAAAGTACTGTTCCATTACTAGTACACAGAGTTGCACGATCAATGTTGATAAATGAGGGTATTGCATTCATAAATTTAGAAGTCATGAGATGCCAGAATCAAGACAACGGAAATGATTGCGGGCTTCATGCTATTGCTAATGCTACAGCTTTATGTCATGGCATTGATCCAAGTGGAATTCTTTGGGAACAAAACAGTATGAGATCTCATTTTTTGAAGTGTGTTGAGAATAGAAAACTAGAGATGTTTCCTTACATTTTATTAAATGATACAAAAACCTGCTCAATATCATTTCAATGTGATGATCTCTGTCCTTGCGCATTAAAATAATGATTCTGTTTTGTGTCTTTACATCAAGAAAATATTTAAATGATAAGCTTGTACAATATATGTGAATGTTTATTTACAATATGTAATACGTTGACAACATGTGATGAAACATCAAGTTTTCAGTTATTTTTTATGTTTAAAAAACTTATATCAGAATCCCTGTAAATATAATAATCCCTATAAAATATAATAATCCCTATAAAAATAATATAATAAAATTATTGGTTTTAATTTTTATTGTGGATCGCTATTTCCTGAATATTTACAATATTTTGATACATTTGCTGTATCAAAATATTGTAAATAAATCTAAAAAATCAATTGCCTTTTTTTGAAAAAAAAAGTATAGTATTTTAAGTCTAGTATTATTTGAGTCAGTACTTTAGCTTGTTATTAATTTAGTTTTAGATTAGACTTTACTTTTGTTAGACTAGAGTTTGCTCAATTTTATATTAGAGTTATATATAGAGTTTTTAAACTGAATATATTAAGGAAGCTTTTTAAAAATTTGTAAATTGTTTTTTCAATTTTAAGTCACTTTAAAATTGATTAAAGTATCGCTATTTTAAATATTTAATCAAAAACTTTTAGTTTCATTTACATTTGTAATATTCATTTGTGTAATATTAGGACACTTGAGGTTGTTGAATCCATTTCAGGTTACAAGAGTATTTTTAACTAACTTAGTATTACCTTTTTCTTATTATTTATTTTGAATTCAAAGATTTTTAAATGAAATTTTTCAATAAAATATTTGCATATTTAATTTACTAATTTAAAAAAACTTAATAAATGCATACTACATTATTATTTTCTAGTAAATAATTTTCCTTTTTTTTAGAAATAACAAGCTAAGCTCCTTGGTTACAAGCGGTAAAAGATAACCTTTTAGGTAAACTCAATCTCTGATGTTTGTTTGCAAAGACAAGTAAATTCCAATCTAGCAGAGGTAAACGTTAAGGGACAGATTTAAAAACAAAGTAAATGTAAATTAATTTTTAGCTAATAAACTTTTATAATTTTATTATGTTATCGTAATTAATTGTAAATCTTTTTCCCGCATAAATTTGTCTTGGATGTTATCCCATGTGTTTTTTCATTGGAATTAAGAGTTATGGAATAAAATTATTGGATTTTGCTAATTTTTGCAATTTTTCATGAACTTACCATTCCAGATTAAATAATGCGATGAAAGTAACTGTTTCATTGAGCATTTTCTATCAGCTGCAAAAATCTTATTGATTTTTTTTTAAATATTTCTGACGTAGGCTGCTTTATTTGTATTGCTGTTGCTACAAAACAACTCTTTAAAATATTTACCTTTTCAATAATTTAGTATGATGCCTTGGAATCTTACTATTGATTTTTTAACAAGAAACTTTTCTGAAGTAAAATTACAAAATTTAGATTAAAAAAACTCATTTTAACTTTAAATTAATATTCCTTTTAAACATAATAACATTACACTTATCTGAAATATTTTCACACCTTGTAGTATTATTATGCAATATTTGTTTAATGTCAAACTATCCTATTGAAATTTGAATAAGGATAGGGAAACCCAGAGCAAGATGACTAACGTTTTATTATTCTGAATTTTTGCAAAGTATTTTTCAAAAGAAAATAAAAATGAAAAATCCTCACAACAAGTCAGGGTATTGTTACCATAACAAATGAAAACTTAGTAACTACAAAACAAAATTGTTAGTTCTTGGCCTTGGTCTTGTCTTAAGGCCAAAAAAAAAGACTTTGGTCTTGGTTTGGCCTTGAAACTTTTGTCCATAAAAATTTCGGCCTAGGCCTTCAAAAAAAATACATAAAATTAAATAATTAAAGGTTTTCATTCTTTCTATTTAAGAATTTTTGTTTTTAGCTTTCATATATTTCTACAAGTATTTTTCCTATTGATTTCGTAGAATTTTGCGCATAACCTTGGTTTATTTTTATAACATGTGGTTTATTGTCACAGCAATTGTTACCTTCAGTTTTGTTAATAATTGACCTTAACGTAAGCCAAAAATTTAAGTCTTTGGCCTTGAAAATGTTTGCGTAGGCCTTAGCCTTAAAAATCTTATTCTTGGCCTTGCCCTTAAAACTCTTGGCCTTATCCTTGACTTTGTAACTTTTGGCCATAGCCATGCTACTTTTGGCCTTGTTAACAACATTGCTACCGAGCACTTTTTCTAAAGTATTGCAAAATAAACACGCATTGCAAAAAGCATTCCAAAGAAGGATACGTCATTAGAATAACATCTATCAGCAATTATCCTAACTGTAACATCATTTTTTTTTTTGATGGAAAAAAAAAACTTATGCATATAAAACGACGTTACCAATGTTTAAACAAAAAAAAATGTTATTTTAAATACAAACTACAAAATGAAAAATATGCGGTTTCATTTCCATCCATTTACAAATGTTTTTTTTTGTGATTGAAAAATTAATCGTGCCTCAATTTTTTAAATTTATTTTTACTAAATAAAGTTAATGCTATAGATAAACCGTAAATTGGTTTTAAAATAACATTGTAAAACTTACCTTGACAACGTTTTTGTTTCAGTTTGACATAAAGTTTGGCTAAACGAAATATGCCTTGATTGCTCAATTTGTCTACTTTTTTAACGAGCTACTTATTTAACGCATATAGGCGTTAAATAAGTATCCGTATACTAACGCATGCGCAAACATTACATTTTGTCTACTTTTTTAACGGGCTACTTATTTAACGCAACAACGGCTTGTCACGGAGAAAACAGTCCGCAGAGTAAACTGTCCGGCCGGACAGTTTACTCCGGAGTAGAATGTCCTAGTTGGTCCTACCCATCCGGTCAGGACAATTAACTCCGGAGCAAACTGTCCTACGTTGGAGTAAACTGTCCTACGAGAGTTGCTAAAAAGTCGAAACCTAAAACGCCGGAAAGCCGAAATGCCAAAAACAAACACAAAATTCTGTTTCCTTTTGGGTAGTTTTTTGCAACGGAATTGCCAAATGTTTTGAATGTTTTGAAAATGTTTATCACAACTTAGGTACATATATTATAAAATAATTTTGAGCCGTTACTGCCTGCTCTTTGATGAAATGTAAAGAGAAGTTATTGACAAGTTATTGCGCATTTTACTTGTTTAAAAGTATAAGTCATAATTAATTTACAGAATAAACACAAACAGTTTGTTTAAATATCAATAATAAACGTTTATTATTGGTATTTAAACAAAACTGTTTGTTTAAACCTTTCACTGGCAATTGGTGTCTAAATGTGAAAAGAAAAGCTTAAGTTGTTGTACTCAATGGTTTTCTTTCCAGACACTGCTGAACTTAGATTTATGGATGTTTTAGCCTAAGAAAATATAACTTCTATGTAAAATGGAAAATTTCACTAACATGTTTTTCCTGTGATATTACAGTTAGAGTCTTTAGAGTTAATTCAGCATTTACAGATAATTTTTTTGTTTTATAATTAGGTAAAAATATATTTTCGATTTTTAAAACCTTGATAAAAAATAAATATAAACTATAAATAAAAAGTAATAAAACACAAAAACCATAATTATAACCTAATTTTTTTAATCAAATCTTAACTTTTGCTTGAACATCTAAATTTCTCTCATACATAAAACACTTAATTTCTCATTAACAACTTAGTAGCTTACTTTCAGATCATTAATAAGGATTTTGATCATCTCATTCTAGTGATGATTTTTTAACAGCAATTACCAATATGTTTTATTGTGCATTAGATAGATGCGTTAGGGCTACTGCTCTTAACACTTTAAAGTCTTCGATAAAGTCTTCCATTGTAGTCTCTTCTTATGTAGATGTGATTTGTGTGAAGTGGAGAACTATATTAAATTATTGAATCATTCCTTAGCAGTTATAGTATAAAGATTGTCCTTACTTGATGTTCTATTCTTGGTTTTTTATTATATTGTTTCTAATCTACGTTAATGAACTTCTCTATAATCTAAGGTGATATTTATGCTGGTGTTACCACCATTTGTTCTTATCTTGATAAAAACGCAACACTCTCTGATTTCTTGGAGGGGCATTACAGCTTATAAATGATGTCATCACAGCTATAGCATGAAGCTTTCAGTGCTTGGATAATTTTGAACTTAAAATTCAGTTATTTCAAGCTAAATCTAGATGCAATAACATGTATCTATGAACGAATGAATGAATCATCTACTTAGTGTCTTCTTGGATTATTTCTTACTTCTAATGATTCTTGGAAATCATATGTAAAATTGATTGCAAAGTTAGCATCTGCTAAGGTTGCATCTGTTTTTTGTGATCCTTAGTGATGTACCAATTAATCAGCATCGACTAAATTGGCCACTTTTTACACAATCGGCATTGTTATTGGCATCAGCTTTTTTTAATTAAGTTCTTGATTCTCCAATTGATAGCAGATGAACCAATTTTAAAATTTTATCCTGCATTTTGAAAATATTAAATAAAATTTTGATAATAAAATAAAATTAACTAAAATTTATGTAAAACAATGTCATCGTTGTTATTTTGTGTTCTTGTGTCTGCGCTTTGTTGTTTTGATGTTTCAAATAAAGCCATTTATTCAAATATCTATTATCTTAAGTATCTCCTTAAATAAAGCTATTCATGTTACAAGCTTTTTATCTTCAACACACTCTCTGCAAGTTTTTCTACTTCTACCTTTTTTTTTATTGACACTGATAACTTTCTACACTCTGATATCCAATTATCTGTGTTACAACACTCTACATGCCAAACCACTTCTATATTTTTAAACCTCATTTTGACACATCTTACCAGATATTATTACTATTCCATGTTCCGCATATCCAACTAATCATCTTTTGTATTGTTCTTTCCAGACACTAGAGATCATCAACATTCATTGCCAATGTTACACTACCATATACCATATACTATAAAATAACATGTGAATTAAGTTAGAAAAGAGGCCATTATTGGCTTCATTTTTAAGTATTTTTTATCAAGCCATTTAAAGCTCTGCAACCTGCAGAAATAACTTGGCTTTTTTTAGGTATATCCTATAAACCTTTGAACATTGCGACTCTTGTCTTTTAATCTAGCATTCTTCTGCTTTTTGAGATTTTGAGAAATAATCTTTATCAGCCTTTTACTATCCATCGGCATTGGCCAAAAATGTTTAATCTGTACGTCACTAGTGTCACTTTCTTACTCCTGATTATATTCTTCATCTCTATAAATCCCCAATCCATCCTAGCATGGAATACTGTTGCCATATAAAGGGAAATACATCAAACATGTCCTTTCTGAAAAAATACATCGTAAACATAGTTTAACCTGCTTTTTCAGCTAACCTTCAACCTTTGTCACGCCTTTTGTTCTATTTTCTATAAATAATAAATAGCCTGCTGGTCTAAAGGGCTAGAATCTCTTGTGACTACAAAAAATCATTATTTTACTCGTCATTCAATGAATGTGGCTGTTCATAAGTGCAAAATAAAAAATCTTATGTTTCAGTTTTTTGATTGGTGTTTACTTTTAATTTTCCTGATTGTATGAATTATATAAATCAGGAAAATATGATCTTCCTGATTATATGAACCTGGAAAACATTTATAATCTTCTGTAAACTGTCATTTTGCACTATATAACCTTTTTCATGATTTTTCTAGTAACTTTCATCTCCAATAGTGGTTGCTTCTAGCCTTGATAATTTTATTCCTGATCTATCTTTTAAAAAAAAGTTAAAATAAAAATAAAAACAGTGATAATTTTGTTGTTAGAAGTAAAGATATTAAAAGATATTGTTTTTTTTTTAAAATTTTTTTTTTTTAATTAATGATAAAAGAATTTAATTTATATATTAGGTGGCCACCTGTTTTAATTATTTTTCAGAAACAAACAACAGCTTGAGAGAAATTTGTATGCATATATTGAAATTACATAGACATAATTAGACATTAAATTTTTTTTGACTATTGCGTTAACACTTTTATTTTAACAGGATTACACTAGATTCAAACTCAATTATTTAACCTTTTTTTATTTTTAGA